AATCATGATCCTGCTTTGTTTAAATGATGGCAGCTACAGTAGGTGAAGTCTTCAGCTACACATGAGTGCATGGCACATTTCACTTGTTAATCAGCAGGAGCATGGAGAAGTTAATTTCTGAAAAACTGAAGAAAAACACAGCTGAACTCACAATACATGCTCCACCTTCAGAAACTCAGACTTCGTCAGCTCGGGGAACAAGGACACAGATGTCAAGAGTATCACTCACAATGTTTGACTGATCTCTAAAGAATGCAGAGCGGTAGAGGAAAGTTTACAGGTTCATTTACCCATAGAACAGCTGAACAGCTTTGTCGTGTCTAGGTGTCCTTGAACAAGAAGCTGCATCCTCCACTTGCTCATTGTTTGCCGGCACAAGTAACCCGTGAATTGTAAAAATGTGGAACCTACAGTATGTTAATGTTTCTCCAGTGTGAAAGTGTGACCCCCTTGCATTTAATGATGCATTTGTTTGCATAAAATTTTGCAGCAGCTCTGGAATATATTTAAGGAGGACACTGCAGCGTCCCTTTGTGTGTTTGGTACAGTCTGCTGTTTGTGAACCCAGTGAATACAATATTTAGACAATGGTCTTCATAAGTTTAAGCTTCAATGTTTTTTGTCTGTCTTGGTTTTTAACATTGTGGGACCATGTTTCAATCATCCCATATGCCAGAAACCATGTGTTTTGTAGATCCATAAATATATCAAACCAAATTAAAAGTAATGAAAGGTAAAAAAAGCATGTTACTTCCACACTGTCAGTTTGACTCAGAACCTGCTGCACACATGACAAATCACAGCTGTTGGCCTTATGAGGTCACTTTAATTAAAGGTCAGAATTTTAAACCCAAATGCAACGTTTTGGACACAGCACTGTAATACAAATCTGTGAGGTCTCTTGCAGTTTGCCTTCAGTAGGCCCCTTTCTTTTTAGCTGCACCACAACATCAGGACCAGCCCTGTTATTGCGAATGTCTGTTACTGACTGACTTACTCACTGACTAACTGAGTGATCATAACTCCACCATTGGTCAGCCAAATGTCATATGACTGAGTTGGAGTTTCCCCATTGGCTGTTGCGCTTTCAAAATGAATTGGCGCAGAGAGGCAGAGCAGCGGTCTGTTACCCAGACAGACGCTTAATGTTTCAGTCACTATTTCAAACTTGTTCCATGTCTGACAACAGACACAGAAAAACATGTAAATGAGCAAACATGTAAACAGCTTCATTGAGCTGAATTAACATATTATATACACACAGAGAGTAGGAGAGAAGCAAACAGATAAAGAGCTGAAACCAGCTGACGGAATGCAAATAGGATGTAATGATATCAGTTGTTGAAATAGACAATTATAGTCTGTAGTTGAATAGATGGATAGATAGATGGAAAGATAAATGGTAGATTGGGAAATTCTTGTGTTATAGCAGCTGGGTACAAAATAAAAATAACTAGGGCTGTCCCAAACGATTATTCTTTAAACGATTAATCTAGCGATTATTTTTTCGATTATTCGACTAATCTAACGATTATTTTTTTTATTAACCTAACAGTAATTTGCGAGTAGCGTGCGAGCCTTTTTTGCCACGTGTTGCTCCACACGCTCCGTCGTACTGCTGGTAGACGCCGCCATGTTGTTCAAATAGATTACACAGACGCAAATCTTTTTCTCTTTTTTTTTTTCACAGACGCCAATCATTCACGTAGTCAATGACCTCAATTACGTCACCGCGTTGTCCCAGCCCTTGCGCTGCGCTTGTATCCGGGTAAACTAAAGACGATGGATATAAACGGTCCCATTAGAAAGTTCCTGTTTTGTTCTATGAACATTTACCCTGTGTGGTTTTACATGACGCGTCGACACTAAAATTCCACGTCGAATATTTTTTATAATCGACAACGTCGATTATGTCGGATAATCGTCCCAGCCCTAAAAATAACACAACGAATAACAAAATAAAACAGAATATACCTCAATATCTATTATAGAAGACTAAACACAACAAATATAGAAATAAATGAAATAGCTCAATAACCCTAATAGAAAAATAAGCCCAACAAATAGCAGAGTAAAATAAAAAAAATACATAATAAACACAATGAATAACAAAATAAAAATAGACTAAAATAGCTCAATATATATGTTTAAAGAATAAATACAACAACTACATCTTCAATGTTGTACATTGACCATACATGGTCCAGCCATACACTACAGGTTCTGACCTAGTCTTTGTTTCTCCTCTCCCCAGCCAGCTCTCCACCCTGCTGTCTTTCTATCTTTAATAATATCTATCTACATAATTTCTGGTAATCATAATTCATAATTGTATATCATTTGAAAAACTGTCATTAATGGACATTTGACAAATGGCAAGAAGTTGTGCTATGTGAGAGAAATGTAAAAGAGATTCTCCTCATTGATGAGAATAGTTCACAATGAACAGGCTGGACAAAGACTTGAATAGTCTGGGAGATTAACCTCTAGTTATCATTCAAACCTGCATCGATTGTATGCCAGCTTCTTTCACAGCACAACAGTTTAATTGGAGTTTTACTGTTAATTATTTGTGATTCACAACAAACTAAAAATATGTTTACCACAAAACTGGAAATTAAGTATTCTTAATGAGCTCATTTAGAGCTTATGGAAAGCTTTGTTCAGGTTTTAATCAGTGCCCAGTTCTTTGCTATGTGGTTTCATTTGCCAGCATTGCTCACGTTAATATGAACTGGCTGTACCTGTTTGTAGACTTCTCCAAGGTGATGGTGAACTGACATTTACTGATCTACAAACTTGTACTGTAGTCGATCAGCCTATGTTTTATATCATTCTCCTGCTTTCCTGTACAAGTAAATCATTTAGATAATTCGTAACTGTGGTTTAGGGTCCCCATGGGGGATAAGGGATGATTAATTGGATGTGAGAACAGAGAAAATATATTTATGCTACACCAAATTATGCTTATTCAGATTCTTTCTAACCTTTTCTTTTTTCTGTTGAATTCATGGATTTTACCTCTGACAATTGTTGACATAAAACAAAGAGAGAAAGTCACTTGTTTAACTGGTATTAGCTGGTAGACACATGCAACTAGTGACAAGGGTTTTTCACAAGCCAAAAATGTGGGGTAGTACAGATTTAGATAATTCTGAAGCAGTGTTTGTGTTGATCGCTGTCCAAGGTGCTGAACCTGGAACAGCCTGGGCTGAAGGAGCTGTCCATAGTAGTTCATACAACGACGGATGCATCACAGCTAACAGGATTTATTTTAGGAAACATGACAAAAGTAAATCATGCATGTTGCTATGTTTCTTTTTTGTTTGCTGTTTCTGGGCTCCAGTATTTTCATTTTGGCCATCTTCTATGGAGAACTTCAGACGCCATGCAATTTATCTTTTTGAAAACAGTATTTTCAAATCAATTTATAATAATTTATTTAGATAGTCATCTGTTTTAAATGATGGATCTATATTTTGTTTACTTAATATTTATGATATATGATTTATTATTGATGGATTAATATATTGACTTATAAATTTTTACAATCCTTCTTTCTATTGCCCACTTAAATATTAATAAATGAAATACCCAATAATTGAATCAATTTGGCAGTGGATTCATTTATTCATTTGTAATTTTTTTTTATTAATTCCTGTTTTATTGTCCAGTTAGATATATATTATATCATATATTCATTTATGTATAAATTAATCTATTCTTAACTTGATGAGTAAAATAATTTAATAATAAATTATTTGTTTTAGTAATTTTTCAAGTAAAAATACCAAATATTTGCTGGTACCAGCTCACAAAATATGATGATTTTATGGCCTTTATGTCTTATATGGTAATAAGCTGAACGTCTGGATTTTTCAGTTGTTGGTTGAATAAAACAAACTCCTTGGGCAGAGGGAAATTACTAAGGGCACTTCTCACTATTTTCTGACATTTTATAAACAAAACTATCAATTAACAAAATAACCTGCGGATTGATAATGAAAATAGTCTTTAGTTTCATCCCTAATTAGTTTGTATTTGTTTTTTAAATTTCTGTTTTTATAGTCCAGTTAAATATCAATACATAGAATCTTTTACATCCATTTATATGACACCTGTGGTCCTCCATAATCTGTATGCTGATACTGTGTCACACTGTCATATTTTTCCCCACATCATTATCAGTGTCATGCTGTGCACTCTCTTTAATTTGTAAAAGGTCTAAGGCTCCTTATAGGATTTTGCACTGCTGTGAGGCGGGGCCCTCAGGGAGTGTGGGGGGCCCCCTGCCTTGCGTGGGTGGGGGGTGTATATTTTATGACCCACTTCAGACGCTGTTACTCCGGATGTGGCAAAACCTTGATGCATCTCGGCTGTGTGTTGTGTATTTGAAAATGATCAAAGCTTTTTTTTTCTAACTTTGATAGGTCATATAACTCACACACCGCAGGTCTGATGCTGATGAAAGAATTATGCATGTTGTTATTGATTGGTCTACGGGGTTCCTGCATCGTTCACAGGAGACGACATGTGCACTGCTGTTGGCTGGTTGCGCTGAGCTGTTCAGCAACCCAACAAGTGTCTCTCAAATACTGAAGAGTGAATTTTACACATTTCCTCAATGCACACAACCTCTTCAGGTATTCATGCACACAATTATAAATGGGTCTTTAAAATTAGGGAAATGACTCGTTAAAACTTACAGTATGACAGACATATGGTTATACATCTGAGGGCTGTCTTGCTGTTCTGCAGAAACATTTACATTTACATTTTTGATCCCTTGCTGAGGCTGTTATCCAGAGCAGCGTACAATAAGAACATCTGTTAGAATAATTTAAATTCTTAGATCAACTGCATTACAAGCAGCAAGTACAAAGGTCAGAGAAACATTCTGGAAACTCTGTAGATGTTTTTATGTTAATGCAAATCATTGTTAAAGATTTTTATGCAAATGAGTATTACAACTAAATATATGTACATTTTATTATTTGCAGGATCCAGTCCGGCTCCTACCTCAGCACCGGCTGGTTCACCCTCATCCTCGCCATGGACATGTGCAAAGAGATCCATATCTACGGCATGATAAATGACACCTACTGCAAGTAAGACACCAACTAACCCCCTCCACCACCCCCACCCGCCATTTCGCTTCCCCATATTGGGATGAAAAATGCACGCATTCCCACAAAACTTAGAAAACTAGATTCACATTCATAGCGGCGCTGGCCAATCGCAGCCTCCCATAACTGTGGACTGTTGGAATACATTTCCAGTGCCTCAGTTTGGATTTAATGGCTGAATTTCAATGCTGAAATCCATATTGGGTTCTCTGTGTCGTGAATACCATTATATTTTCATGCCTAGAAAACCCAGCAGGCTGCATAGCCTCAGTTGCTGCGGGTGGCTGGGCTGTAGCACCCAATTCCTCCTCTGCTTAAAGTTTTATTTGTATATTGGCCTGTCATCTTCTTTCTGACTTTTGGGTGAGTGAGTTACTGTCTGGCTGCGAGGCTATGGGAGGGATGACAAACAAGATGCTGTCGCTCTGGGCATGGCTACTCAGTCTCGAGTCCTCTCAGATGGACTCTCCGTTCTCTCTCCCCGCCGTTCTCGCGGCTCAACCTGAGCTCCCTCAATCCCCCGAATCAAACACTTTTACCTAATGCACGGTGAAAATCCCGCCTTTTATCCTCTCTGTGTTCCCTGTGCACAGCAGGAAATAAAAACAGCCCGAGACACATGGCAGAAAGGAGTGATAATTTAACCAACATAGAGGACTGTATGATTCAGTCAGGCAGTTAAGGGCCAGCCTTCCCTTCCCTCCTGTCGCTCACTTATTTCTTTCCTTCCTGCGTGAGACAGGAAGATATTGTGTTAGTTTAGTGTCACAGTATGTACTGCTGGCAGCCGAGTTTCCAGTAAAAGAAGAAGAAGAAGTAGAAGAAGGGATGTTTTGTGTGATGATGTTCGAGGCTTTAGTCAGAATTGACCTCAGCAGTTGGGTAGTAATGGGACATCAACAGGTGCTGCAGAGAGGGTGAAATTGAATTTATTTGTGAACACTGGTGTGAACCACTGTGTGACACAAAGAGAGGAGAGGCAGTGATTGGGCTGTGTATTACCATGCGCTGGCAGACAGCCACAGTCGCCTTCTCTCTGTGGACTCACTGGCAGGCTGTTGTGATGGCTGTTTCTCCTCTGTCTGTGTTCGTTCCCCCAATGAAATCGTTTCACACTAGTCATCCTCTCATAGAGCTAACACTCACTATTAGAAATCAACTGCAGAATACACAATGAGTCTGTTCTACTGCACCTGCGCTTTTATTCATTCTCTTCTTTTTAATGGTTTTAAGATGCCAAGTGGAAACAGAGCAACTCATAATGAAATCGAGGTCAGAAAAGGCTTTACCTCTCCTGCTCTACATAACTCAGTTTTCTGAATGTTTTCAGATTCACTTTGACTCAGAATAGAAATTAATCTTATCGTGATGTCTTACAAATACATGCAGTTTAGTTAAAAGAGTATTTATTGAATACTTTTTCGCTGCCAACAGCGACTTTTAAAATGAGAGAACCTGCTGAGTGGAGAATTTTGCCTGGGGCAGCTTCATTTCAAATTGCTGAACACTGTCCTGAAGGATCGTCAGTGTAATAGTTTAGTAATTTCTTTTGCTTATTATTTTGCATTATATGTTTGTAAAGCTGAGTCAATCAAAACCACAGCCACTTGGAACCAGGGACATACTGGCATTTGTTCCAAACTGTTTGAGAATGCAATGCCTTAAAATCTAGCTTACAATTACATTTATTCATTATTATCATTATATTTATTATAATTATAAAACTGTTACATACATACATACATATACATATTTGTAATGTATAGAAAATGTCTTGCTTGGACCAACAGACATCAATGATACTTTTCATCACAACATATAGTATGTTATATAATCAAATCAAAATAGATTACTTTTAGCAGAAAAACGTGGCATGAAATATATCATATACCCATGTAGAATAGAATAGAATGCCTTTGTTGTCATTGCTGTGTTGAATGAATCTGCTTCTATAACAGAAGGTTTTTCCACAGGATTTTGTAAATATATGTGCATATATGTGTGTATATGAATAAATGAGTAAATATGTACATATAAATATATATGTGTACATGACACACTGTATGTCACTCTTAAGAATTCAGCATCGGTCAGACTGCAGTCCACATTCTTTTGGCCATAGACTGTAGTTAACATGGGACCACACACTGTCCATTTTGCAGCCACATATAGCAGAATAAAGTGTCACCTGAAGATATAAAACTAAATGTTATATCTTTTAAAACAGTTCTCCACAGATGCAGCTTTTCACTCCTATAACATTGACAGACAGTTTTTTTTTTTTTTTTTTTTTAAAAAAAATCCAAATCGATGCAACAGAACCAGAAAAATTTTCTTTTTTTTTTTTTTTATTCTACACGTTCTTCTTCTTTGCCAAAAGAAGACACCATTACTCACAATGCAACTCGCCCGCCAGCAGTTTGGTCAGAGACTCAGTTGTGTTATGCTAGTAGCAGCTAATGTAGCCTCAGGCTGAGTTGAGGAGCGAGCGACAGAGGTCTGATCAGCTCACTTCTTTCCACACATTGTTTTCATTGTCAAACTTGTGACGGAGCAGATTTCCCACAGCTCACTCTGGGGCCACAAAAGGCTTTTCCCTTTAATAAACCTGGTTGATTAATCTTTCTTGTCATTCCTCTCTCCCCTTCAGGACGGAGGGTTACAGAAAGGTCCCTTACCACTACTACGAGGCCGGCAGCCGGGACGAGTGTGCGGAGTATCTGCTCCACGAGAGTGCCCCCTACGGTGGGCATCGCTTCATCACGGAGAAATCTGTGTTTGCCAAGTGGGCCAAGACTCACGCCATCAAGTTCTTCAACCCGCCGTGGCAGCTGTCGTGACCCTGGCTGAACCAGCACGGAAATACCACATCATCATCACCGCCGCCGTCGTCATCGTCATCATCAGTATCATTCAAAGACCAGCTGAATCTCTTCACTGACAGACAGAGTGTCCCTTAATGTGCACAAACATCTAACTCTGCACAAATACCACTGCATATCCATATCAACGCTGGTTGACGGTTGTTTGTCAAGTCCTGGTTGGTTCGAGGGGGCGCCTCCAAAATCCAGGGACTTGTTTGTTTGACAATGGCCGCTCAATCAGACAAAAGTTTGACCAACCTGGACAGCTAGAGCATATCTCCTGCTTCTTGAATATGAAGTCTTTTTCTCCTGGATTTGAGAGCTGAAGGTAGTGCACAGCGCTCTGCTCTGCACTGACTAATCGATCCATCCGCTGCTCTGTGAGTTTAGCAAAAGGATGGCTCAAAGACCAACTTGAAAAAAAATAAATATAGAAAACAACATAAAGAAGACATGACCATCCGTCATCTCGCAGCGACCGCAGCGGCTCTGATTTCCGCAGGCCTTGTACTGTACTGTACATCGCAGAGGCTGAATTGAAGTGTTTTTTTTTTTTTTTTTTTTCAGCACTGTGGTTGAAGAGGAGCTTCAGCCGCCGCAGAGACGAGTCACGTTGCCATGGACGTCTGACGAGCTCTCTTGCTCTGTTTCCTCTGCGTGACTGTCTTCTGTCAGGCTGTAATTAATCTATAACGAGTATAATTCAGGCCTTCATCTCTGACTGAGGGAGTATTGAAGGCAGATGCTCTGTCAGTTTCAATTTTCTTTGCTCTGCTTAAAGATGCTTCAACAAACAAGGTCATTTGAAAAAGGAAACACAAAAGCTGATTTCAGTCGTACCAGAGATGTGAGTGTAAATCTGCTTTTTTATGGTTCGGCTTGGTTGTTATGCTTGTGTGTTGACTCACACAACTTAAAGATGTCAGTTCTTTTTTTTTTTTTTTTTTTTTAAATAATGCTGTGAAATTGAATTTTAAGAGACATGTTTTGGCGTTGGCTTGATGTCTGGATGGTTTCCGTATTTATTCTGCAGAGTTTAGTTCCTAATGCTCTTTAACAGTGTGCCATTGACAATATGAGCATCACAGCATATAGAGCAATGTGCAATTAGAAACCCCATCCTTACGGAAGGAGTAAAGTCATTTGTGACCCCGCTGAGGGAGAGATTTATGTGTGCAGTGAAACCATTTGAAGTTAATTGTATTCTATTATCATTTTGTGCCTGCAATATATAGTACTCTGCAGTTCATCGTATAGAGACAAGAGAAGAAGCTCTCTCTCTCTCTCTCTCTCTCTCTCGCTCATCTTCTCGTCCAGCTTTGTGCCTCTTTGTGAACAGTATCACTGTGTGAACACATCTTCCCATTTGTCTTTGGACACGGCGTGCGTGTCTCCTGGTTCAGGCCATTACATTTGAATGCATCTGTTCCAGGACAGTGAAGAATAATCAGTGAAGTGCCGAGGTGTGTAGGTTGGCCAGTAGCTGTGGAAGGCTGAGACACGGTGATTAGTGTCCCGGTCAGAATCACGGCCCAGAGGGGGAGGACTGGAAGGATTCAAAGACTTCTAATTTAGGCGACTTGATGCACAGGGTCCCCGGCGACTGTAATATACTGCAGCTGAGCGTCACAGTCTTAACATTGCATTGTACTGTTTACTATAACACACAGGCACTCCGCTTTAAGGCCATGTCTGTGTACGCACCCGTGTGATAATTTACAAGACAAAACATGTGGATGAAACTGGGCTGAATTTAAGTGTGAAGGTTCCTTTTTGACCTTGAAAACAAAAATTTGAAAAAAGTAGCTTTCAGTTAAAAAAAAAAAAAGACTAAAACTCCAACTGGGCTGAATTTGTTTGCTACCGTTTTTACATATAAACACTGTTCCAGCAACACTTCACTGACTACATTTCAATGTGAAGCAGGTCCAACCTGCACAGTGAAATATGCTTTTGAAGCAGTGGTTATTTGTAACTTTGATGTGTAGAAAACGAGCCTTTCTCTGCTGCTGGAACTTTTCCAAGAATCTTTTTAGAAACTCAGAAACTTAACTTTCAACAAAACTATTTCAACAGGAGGAACAAGGCTCTCAAATTAGTTCCTGGAAAAAAAAAAGTCCCAGTGGTGAGAACTAGCACTTTCTGATGGAGGGGTTTACGTCGCCAATTGGTCAAACTTGTGTACAACATTAATTCACAGAGTAAGAAATCTCTGGGCACTGAGAGAATCAGTATTAGGACAAAACAAAATTACAAAGACAAATTGATGTCAGTTTTGATTAGTCTAGAAACAAAGCGATGAAATAAACCATGAAATACTCAGCAGATTGAGTGCCAAAGTTCATTTTTGACATTGGAAATAATCATTTGACAAAATAATCTAGAACTTTTGTCATTCCATTGGATGTGTTTGAGGCTCCCTTTCCACCTCTGCACGTCCTCAAACCTCAAACAGTAAATGACAAAGAAAAACAGTGAGTCTCATCATGTGTTTCTAACAAAGCTGCTCATCCATTATCGCTCCACTTTAACTAACCTTCAAGGTTTTTTCTTAGATGTAGTGCAGAAACAAACATGGACATGCAGTTTTTTCGTTTACTGTCTGAGCTATTTTCTATCTGAGCTGAGTTATTTTGGCTCTTTAGCTCCTAAAACTGTTTTAATGAAAAATAATTAAAGCAAATTTAGTGGTAACTACTTTTTCCTTCACTAAGTCACAAATGAACTTTTTTGCACACTTAATAGAAGTTGTAAAAATGCTACAGATGGAATCATAACAGCTACTGATCCTACATATCAACATCTTCATAACAACGTAGCAAACTCCTTCTCCTGACAAAGACTGCGTGACTTGGTTGAGAGCTCCAGGAGAAGCTGTTATGTAGAAGAGGTGGGATTGTTTTGTTGAATTTAGCCCAGTTTTGTGTGTCAGCTGCATGTTTGGAAACATGTTTTTACTGCTTTTGCATCAGGATCAGGAAACTCTGATCTCTCCCTGTTTTCCAGACAGTGCAACAGACACCGTCCTACAACTCAGAACTCAATACTCATCTGTCCTGTTGTCACCTTGTCACTCATTGTAAGCCGACCGGGCTGACAAGAGCATCAGCAATATGTAAAAACACCCTATTTTAAATTCTTCCCGGTGTGGCTCAGCGGATAGGAGACGGCCCGAACACAGGCAGGGTCACGGGTCCGTTTTCCTCTGGGACGACGAGAGCCGGAGAGGTATTCAGTCCAAGCAGCTGCAGATCAGAGTGTCCACCACCTGACGTATGCAAAGCAGAAACATCTCGCAGTTTTATTTTCCCCTGCTCAGAAAGCCCGGAGATAAAAATCTGGGCCTCGGGACGGCTTTGAAATTATGCTTCTTTCAGTTACTGAAGCGTGAATTCATACAATATGCCATGCATGTTACATGATTAACGTACAGCTTTTTATACATTCCCACTCAGCCTGTGATTGTGCAGTCATCTGGCAGCTTTCCACCAATCGGTTTACCTCTACTGTACAGGATATCCACCTTAAATTGTAACGCACTACACACCAGGATGAGAAATTAACATCTTTTGTCATATTTGTTTTAAATCGTTTATGTACAACTGGAAGAAGAGCACAGTGTTCCTTCTGTTCATCTTTTTCTTTTTTTCTGTTTTTCTTTTCAAATAATGGTTGCTTTTATTTTTTGTTGATGCAGTGGTTTGTGTGCAGCATGTTTGTTTTTTTTTTCTGCTGCAGGTTGCATGTTGCCAACATTTTCTGCTGCTTCAGGCTGTGCACTCAGTTATTTTCTGATCAACAAACACTCTATTGTTCTCAGTCAGAACACACTGCACGAATGCCCACCGATGTGTTACCCTGAATATTATGGAGAGTGTACGCCCTCTTATAGGCTTCCATGAATCATTTACTGGCTCACAGGAAGGGCACTGTAGACACACTCGCTCTGTAACACTAGGAATAAAAGTATGGGAAGAGTGGGAGGGGGAAAAAATAAATAAAAGGTTACTTTTAATTTTCAGAGCTCATTTATGATTTTGATACCTTTAGACGGAGTCAGGTTAGCTTTTTTCCTAGCCGTGTCCCAATTCAGGAGCTGCATCCTTTGGTGGCTGCATTTGAATTGCATCACAGCGGCGCGATTACGCTGTCCCATTTCAAATGCAGCCTTCTTTTCCTGGGCAACAAAGGATTCACCTGTTGGATCCTTCGTGGCCCAACTTATCCCGAGATTCATTGCACGCCAGTAATGAAAATAATGTGGCAGCAAACAACGCCGACAGAGAGCCCCATGATTATACTTTTAAATGTTAGTATTGGGTTTCAGCTCATTTCAACAGCTAACGGTACAGTTGTTAAAACCAAGGGCTTTAAGACCCTAAGTCTTTGTGAAAAAAAGTTATGTGTTGTCAAGGTTGCTAGGCGACAGGAGCCGCGCTTTACAAGCAACGCTAAGGGGAAAATCCTCCATAGACCACACTGTCTCATTTCAGTTCAGCCTTCGCGGCCTGTGGAGGCAACGAAGGGCAACAACTTCGTCGACTGCCTCCTTCGAAGGATGCGGCCTCTGAATTGTATTCTTGTTCATTTCAGATGTTGGCTCTTTTGTTTTCGACACAACTTATCAAATGGCCTGATTTCTTGTTCTGAGCACTGAAGTTTCAGCCCGTCTCAAACCTTAAGCAGAGACTTTGCTCTTTGTACCTGGCTGTATATATGCAAATGAAAAAAAAAAAGAAAAAAAGACACAATCACCGCTTGTCCTCAGATGCTTGACAACAGAAATGGCAGTGGAATGAGCCCTGACTGTTCACACATCATATAACACAAAGTTTAAAAAGCAAATTGAAGGTCACTTCCTTTAAAGCAGAGCTAGCTTGTCCTGATTAAAACGTCTAGGCTGCAAGGTCTGCGGACAAAGATGTGAATTTCATTGTTCCTTGCCGTCTTTAACACTCGATATTTTTTGTTCTTTTTCTTGCTGAGATCAGTCGAGGTAACTGCAGCCCACTTTGCAGATTTTTAAAGAACGTTTGATTGTCTGACTCCACGTCGAAAACCTCTTCAGGTCACTATGTAGCATCTGACTCTTTCCCTCCTGACTGTTGTACTTGTTGCCATTTTCTCAAATGCCTCAAGTGCTTTACATTGAGAACTTTATTTGATTTCTCTTCTCTTTTCCTGTGTGCATGTCTTACTGTTATTTTTGTGTTGTAAAGCACTTTCCCTTCTTCATTTTCAGGTCAAGTGTCCTTGTGAAATTTGTAACTTTGGGTGTGTTTGAGTTACATCGAATGTAATACAACACTAAGGTTGTTATAATGAAAGAAAAGTTGTTTTTTTGCTAACACAGCTAACACACTCCTTTTATTGGTGGTAAAATAACATCCAAATGCTGCATGGATTATTGCAGGTTATTGAGATGTATGTTTTGTTGGAAAATAAGTAGTGATTATCTGTATTATTCTGTCACTTGCTGTCTACATTAGCTAAAATTAGATATATTGTGAATGTTCTTATTTTTACCAA